ATTGGGTTGTGTGTTGACAGCTATAGCTCCTTTTGATGTGTCGGTGGCTGATGGAAAGAAGGTGAAAAGCAACTACATATGTAAGAAGCTGATGTGGAAGATGCAGGGTGTGTCCTTTGATTCAGTATGCTGGTATTACCAATTGGAGGGTGCAGCATGGTTTTGGGTATTCAGTGGTTAATTACATTGGGGGATATTATGTGGAACTTCAAAAAACTTAGAACGGAGTTCGGTATTATGGCGCACAAGGTGTCACTAAGGGGAATACAACCCCCAGCTACCAAGTTGATTCAGCAATACAGCATGGACAAGTTGTTGGCCAAACCTGCAGAATTATGCATGATATCTGTAGGTTTGTTCAGGGAACACCAGCAGCAGGATGTGGATATTAGCCTGGTAGCAATGGAAGGCTCAACCAAGGAGCCTAGTAGGAATGGGGAATTACAAGCTATATTGCAGCAGTACAGTGATCTCTTTGAGGAACCAAAATAACTTCCTCCTTCTAGACTGCATGACCATAAGATCATCCTAAAAGAAGGTACTTCTCCTATTAATATCAGACCTTATAGATACCCTAATGTGCAAGAAAATGAAATTGAAAAGATGGTGAATGAGATGTTAGATTCTGGGGTCATAAGGAACAGTACTAGTCCTTACTCATCTCCTATTGTGATGGTCAAGAAGAAGGATGGATCTTGGCGTTTATGTGTGGATTACAGGGAGTTAAACAGCTGCACAGTCAAGGACAAATTCCCAATACCTGTAATTGAAGAGCTGCTGGATGAATTACATGGTGCTAAGTACTTCTCTAAGTTAGATCTAAGGGCTGGCTACCACCAGATTAGGATGTTTGAACCAGACATACCTAAGACTGCCTTTAGGACTCACCATGGCCACTATGAATTCTTAGTTATGCCTTTTGGTTTAACTAATTCCCCTTCTACTTTTCAAAGCTTGATGAATCAGATTTTTCACAAATTCCTCAGGAAATTTATCCTAGTTTTCTTTGATGATATCCTCATATACAGTCAAAGTTGGACTGAGTCAAAGTTGGACTGACCACTTAGTACATCTGGAGGAAGCTTTCAAGGTGCTGAGATTCCATACCTTGTTCATCAAACAGAGCAAATGTGCTTTTGGAGTCACATAAATTGACTACTTAGGCCATATTATCTCTGAGCATGGTGTATCTATGGACAATCAGAAGGTAAAGGGAGTGTTGGATTGGCCCCTACCTTCTTCCATCAAGGGTCTAAGGGGATTCTTGGGATTAACTGGTTGTTACAGGAGATTTATCAAGGGGTATGGTGTTATTGCAAGGCCTCTAACTGACTTGCTCAAAAAGGGTAACTTTCAATGGAATGTTGCAGCCACTACTGCTTTTGAAGAATTAAAGAGAGCTATCACTTCAGCACCTGTTCTAACTCTCCCTGATTTTTCAAAAACATTCACAGTTGAGACTGATGCCTCTAGTGAGGGGATTGGAGCTGTTCTAGCCCAAAACAATAAACCTATAGCTTTCTTTAGTAAGGGCCTATCAGTCAAGAACAGGGCACTATTAGTATATGAAAGAGAATTACTGGCCTTAGTATCTGCTGTACAGAAGTGGAGACCCTATTTGCTGGGAAGACCATTCACCATCAAAACTGATCATCACAGCCTTAAGTATCTATTGGAGCAGAGGATCACTACTCCAAGCCAGCAGAAATGGCTGGTCAAGTTGCTTGGCTATGACTATTCTATTGACTACAAGAAGGGAAAAGAGAATGTAGTTGCTCATGCTTTATCTAGGAGGGAAGAGGACATTCAACTATATAGCATTTCCAATGTCAGCTCAGATATTTTGGAATCAGTCAAAACTTCATGGACTCAAGACCTCACACTTCAACAGCTTATCAAATCCATACAGGAAGGCAAAACCACTAAACCTCACTATAGGTTTCACAATGGGATTCTAAGCAGGAAGAATAAATTGGTGGTTGGTATTGATCAAACACTCAGAACTAAACTCTTATCCTATTACCATGACAGCCCTATAGGAGGTCATTCTGGCATTACAGCCACACTGAAAAAGCTTAAGCAGGATTTCTATTGGAAGAAAATGAAGCAGGATGTTTACAACTATATAAGAAGCTGTGATGTGTGTCAAAAATGCAAAAATGAGACTGTGGCTTATCCAGGTTTACTACAGCCCTTACCTATACCAGAGAAGGTTTGGCAAGACATATCCATGGACTTTATTGAAGGCCTTCCTAAGGTTGCTGGGAAAGAAGTGATCTTTGTAGTGGTAGATCGACTGAGCAAGGCTGCCCATTTCATAGCTCTCAAGCATCCTTACACTGCATTGGAAGTGGCTCAGGTGTTCATGGATCAGGTGTTTAGACTTCATGGCATGCCTAAGTCTATAGTGTCAGATAGGGATCCTGTGTTCACAAGTAAATTTTGGAAGGAGTTGTTCAAGTTACAGCAGGTTTCTCTCCTAACTTCCACAGCCTACCACCATCAAAATGATGGCCAGACAGAGGTGGTTAACAGATGTGTAGAAGCCTACCTTAGATGCATGACATTTGAGAAACCAAGATCATGGCCACAGTGGCTGCCACTAGCTGAATGGTGGTACAACACATCCTATCATTCCAGCACCAACATGACTCCTTATGAGGCAGTCTATGGCCAGAAGCCCCCTCCCTTGCTTCCTTTTATGAGTTTTGACTCCCAATTAGACTTGGTTGACAGAAGTTTACAAGCTAGGGAAGTCACCCTCAGGCTGTTGAGGTCTCATTTGGAGAAAGCCCAGAATAGGATGAAGACCCAAGCTGACAAGGGAAGGACTGATAGGGCATATGCAGTAGGAGATTGTGTTTATGTCAAGCTACAACCATACAGATAGCTCTCTCTCAAGTCGCATGGTTATCAGAAACTCTCACCCAAGTTTTTTGGTCCTTTTAAAATCATTGCTAAGGTGGGAGAAGTTGCTTACACCTTGGACCTGCCTGTTGGTACAAAGATCCATCCCACTTTTCACATCTCCCAACTGAAAAGGAAGATTGGATCTCACTCAGCCACAGTTACCTTACCAGTGGTACTCTCCGATGAAGGTCATGTTCTATTGGAACCTGAAGCTGTATTGGATAGGCGCATGATCCAGAAATATGGGCGTACTGTTTCTCAGATTTTAGTCAAATGGTTTAATGCTGCCTCTGAAGATAGCACCTGGGGAGACTACTATGTCATGAAGCAGAGGCTTCCCTTATTTGATCCTTGAGGACAAGGATTGTCTGTAGAGGGGGGTAGTTGATACGATCCTATAGCTTAGAAAATCAGTTAGGAGTTTGTTAAAAATTGTTAGAAACTCACGTGAGTTGCACGTGCTAGACAGCTGAAGGAAGGGAGACTTCCTGAAGTTAGTTACAACTAACTTTCCCGCCTCTCCTATATAGATTGATTCTTCCCCAATTCTGTACTATCTCTCATGTAATGTTTTGAATAAGAATTCTATCTTCTTCTCGTCTCTCTCTCTCTCTCTCTCTCTCTCTCTCAATTACTCAGAACTCCATTGTTGGGTTCTAATCGAGCGCACTGTTCAAGGGCAATTCTCCATATTTGCCCTTTAGGTGAGCTTCTTTTTCATCTCTTAGCTGGAATTCGATTGAGTTCCTATCATTTGGTTGAAGGTTGTATTATTTATTTAGAGGAATATGGATCAATTCCACTTAATATATTTTTTCTTGCGTTTTTTTTTAAGTAGTGCACCCATGTACTAAAAATCCTAGATCCACCTCTGTCCATAGCTGGATGTTGAACTGGCATAAGCGTACTGACTGTACTTCTAGCATTTTCACTAGTTTCCTTCAGTTAACTTTTCTTTTCAAGTCTACTGTTTTTTAAGTTCCTATACTCAAGGTCCCAATATGATTGTTTCATATTGCAGCAAACAAAGGGGATCCTTGGAGCAACGGTCAAGCTGTCTCCGTGTGATCGTGTTTGAGCAGTGGAATCAGCCATTGATGTTCTGCCTACATCACAACCTCTTGAGGTGCAGCCCTTCCCAGACCCTTTGTAAACGCAGGATGCTTTATGCATCGGGCTACCCTTTTCATATATATTGCAGAAAATAGATATCTGTAACTATATAGATGATCATTAAAACTATCTTCACAAATCCAGAAAGAATGCATAAGTGGTAATTCTCATGGTATTTCTTACTAGTAAGATAGTGGTTTCCAGTTTCTGTAGGTTTTCCGCAAGAGAAATATTATAGGTTTCTTCTAGTGTTTCTTGGAGGATCCCATCATTTTGGTCATCAACTGTACGAGAGATTAGAAAGGTCAAAGGCAATAAAAATGTACAGCCGTTACCTAACTCATATTACCAATGGAAACTGTCCTGTTTCTTTATTATCATGATTGATGGTCTATTTTCTTATATTCTACCTGTCCTGTTTAATTTTTCAAGATGAATGTCAGATTCCTCCTGTATTTTGTGCACAAATGTTGTGACGTGATATGACCTGAATATTATTACTATCAAGGTCATGGATGATCGATTCACTGCTGAAGTTCATTTGAGATGATCTGAAAACATTGGAGCCTTGGAACATACTTATTTAATAAGCCGAGTTCTTACTATCTGATCAGAGTTACCCGGGTGTTCTGATTACAATTGTCGCCCCCAACCACCGTTGAAGTTGGACGAAAGATTATGGAAGACTATGATTCAGTTCCAAAGGCAAAAACTTAGGTGATCTCTTCCCATTTACCTAAGCCTTGGTGGCTAAAGTACCAGATATTATGTTGGTGGGAGGATGCAAATACCCAGGAATAGTCAAGGTCTGTGCAAACTAGCCCTAACACCACCGTTTTCATAATAGAAAATAAATAAATAATTGTCTACCCTGTCTAGTATTTATTTAAATGGCCTTTATTTGTTGCAGTATGAACAGTAGTAGTTTATAATGATGAACAATTAACTAGCCAATTTCATAGTAACTTTACCCCAGCTTTTGACGGAAAGTGAATGATTTTATTATGCAAAGAGCTTTCTTCTTGTTCTACAAGGATAGGCTGGACATGTTGTGTGTATGGAAGTGGGAAAAAGGATAAAACTAAGTAAATGGGATAAACTCTTCATCCAAATTTCAGTTTGAAACTCATGTCTCACATAAAAAAGGGTCTACTTTTAGGTCCGGCATCAACCCTAGCTACAGAAGAGTAGTTTGATGATCTTACAAGAATCAACTGTAAAACGTGAAGGTCTCAAACTCTTTGTTAATTTTGCGAAAAACCATCTAAACTTTGTCTATAGAATCTTCAATTTCCTGCAACACATGTGCATCTTCTTTTATTTCAGGCAGTTCTTTGTCAGCTGATTCCTCCTTTCCTTTCTTTATCATCAGTTCTTTTGCCTGTTTGAGAGCTTCAATCAGCTTCATAAGGCATTTCCCTGCGTCTTCTTTCGGGGAGCTAGGCATCAGGTTCTCTGCAACATCAGCAGGTATGATATTTGTCTCCTTCATTAACATTTCTATTGGTTCAAACAGGGGATGTTCGTCCAAGAGCAGGTAATTCTTTGCAAGCACCTTGAATCCCTCGAAACTACAGTAGGAGAGTTCAATATGCTTATCCATTCTTCCCCTTCTTGTAAGAGCTGGATCCAACTTATCCACATAGTTTGTAGTAAAGACAATTATACGCTCTCCACTGCATGCTGACCAAAGGCCGTCAATGAAGTTCAAAAGCCCGGAGAGAGTGACTCTACTTCCACTCTCTTCGGTTTCCTTGCGAGGAACTTCTTTCTTGTTCTTTGAAGTCTTCTCTTCTGGAGGTTTCTCCTGTTTCTTCTTCCTTTGACCTGTTAAATCAAGTGAGCAGTCAATGTCTTCTATCACTATAATAGATTTACTTGATGTTTCGGCTAAGAGCCTTCTCAATTCTGTGTTGTCCCTGACCGATGTCAGCTCAAGATCGTAGACGTCATAATCCAATAAATTTGCCATTGCAGCAATCATGGTAGACTTCCCAGTACCTGGGGGACCATATAGTAGATAACCCCGCTTCCACGACTTGCCAATCCTGGCATAGAAATCCTTGCTCTCTCTAAATATGAGGAGATCATCCACAATCTCCCGCTTCTTTTCTGCTTCCATTGCCAGGCTATCAAATGTTGCAGGGTGCTCAAATACAATATGGCTCCATGTGGTCTTGTTGTGGCCATTTGTGTAGAGCTTTCTCTTCCTATTTCTCATCTGTATCTCTTTCCCTGTCTTGATCACATGCTCCAAGTAAGTATCAGTCACCATATCACGATATTTTTTGTGGAATGTCACCTTGTAATATTTTCTTTCTACATCTGGCAAGTACTTGCTTTCTCGTTGCACAATTTTCCCAGATATCCATTCTATTTTTGCTCCGCGAAACTCATCAGTAACTCTCTCATGCTCATCCATGCTTAGCACCAGCTTTCCCCCACCATGCACAGTTTCAGCTCTGAGCCTTTTTGCCTTTTTTGCTAAATGGACACTGAGATACGCCTCGACTGCTGCATAGGCATCATGTGGCTTGAGATTGTTGCTCATGAATTCACTGATGGAAATCTGAATGAAAGGGTAGAAGAAGCTCCTGATTCTTCTTGTCCACTTATCTGAAGCTCGAATGAGCTCAGGGGGACAATATCGACGGATCATATCCCACATGAATATGAAACTAGCAATGCTGGTCCCTAAACCACCCCAACTCTGCAGCAATCCCATTGTGCTGATCATCGCTAATGATCGATGTTTCCCCTTCTCTCCCAAGGCAATTGGTGATAACTTCTCTTAAACTCTGTTCACTTATATAACAGGCAATGAGATGCAGAGAGAAGCCCACTCTTTTACTTAATAGAAGCAAATTCTGCTTCTCTTCAAGGCAATTGGTTGGCAACTTCTATTAATTCTGTTCACGTATATATATAAATGATATATAATGAGTGCAAAGGAAGAAAAAGAGTAGGTAAAGCATTTGAATAGATAGTGTATGACTTTAGAAAATAAAAGGCATGATATCTTATTTGTCCTTTACCCCTCATTGGTTTGAGAGTACGTGGATTACTCATTAAGGAGTGACGCTTGGGAGTTGAAAAAGATGAATAATCAAGAAAATGACAAACTAGTGGACGGCTTCGTGAGGTGTATTTTCTCCTTCTTTATATTATTATATTGAAAATGATTAGACAAAAGATAAAAGGAGAAAGTGAAACTAGGATGGTGCAAGACCAAGAGCTGGACATCATTGAGAATATTACTTGTTTTCATGTTACGTTATAATCTTACATCACTCAATATGACATTATCAAATAGGATAGTAACTGCTGGCTCTTTTCCTCTTTTTTTCCCCTCTTCTTTTGTTTTTCCTTTTTCCTTTTGTCTTTTTTATTAAAGATATTAAAGCTAAAAGATCATTCTGGTTAACTAAAGTGGGAATCAAATGTAGCAATGTGTTGGGATGGATAGAATTTTGTGTCTTTTTAATTAAAGATTTCGAGTACTAGTCTTGAAATAGAAAATTCCTAGTAAAAAGTGTTTTTTTTTTTTGTAATAGGCCTTAAGCAGCGCTAATCCGGATTAATTGATGGGGTTTTGAGACAGTTACCCACAAAAACAAAACTATTTACCCTTGTCTACCCATTTGTTTTCTTATCCATAAACTAATTACATTTCCTACCCATAGTAGGTTTTGTGGGGAATTTTTTCTTTATTCTCCAATTCTTTTTTATTTCTATGCTTCTTTTCTTTTCTTTTTTCTTTTTTTTTTCTTTTCTACTTTTTTTTCTTGTTTTCTTCTTATTTTTTTTCTTTTTTCCTTTCTAATTTATAACTTCTGTTTTTTATATTCTTTTTCTCTTCATAATCTAATTTCATTTACTGTTTTCACTATTTTTTATTATTCTTTTTTTATATTATTACTAAAGAAAAATCAAATTGTGTACCAACTAAATATAATTAATACAACCAAAAAAATATTAACAAACATATGATACCAGTATAGTATATAGCTATACCAACAGGGTATACAATTGTACGCAAAGAGTTAAAAAATTTAATTCAATTATTAAACTGAAATAATATCAGTTGTCAAAAAAAAAAATTAAAAATTCTAAAAGGACCTAATTGTAAGAGTATACCATTACATCATGTAGCATACTATAAAATTTTTTTCCTGCATTTTCAGTTTGCCCCTCACGCTTGGGTAAAAGCTTAAAAAAATTAAAAGGGAAAAGACAAGTGAATTTACGGGTAATAAGTATACTATTATAGTATATTGTATACTATTACAGCATATTGTTACAGTATCTTGCATATTATTACAGTATACTATAACAATATATTGTATACTATAATAGTATACTGTTGCAGTATAACTATATACTCCTATAGTATATTAGTATGCTGTAGCGGTATACTATTTTGTAAACTATAATCGTATAGTGTTGCAGTATAGCTATATACTCCTACAACATATTGTATACCGTAGCGGTATATTGTAGCTGTGTTCTTCTTCGATTTTCAACTGAAAATTTCGATCTCAATCACCTCAAATCAGCTCCAAATGTTATCAAATTTCAGTATGAACTTCCAGAAGGTACTATAAGCAATATCTAACAATACCCACTTTTGAATATGGTTAAGGTAATAAACAATAATTGCAATTTGTATAACTTTCTTAGCATAAAAGAACAAAAATAAATTAAGGATATAAGTTCCATACTACGATTTTTCGTACTCATCAAATACAAAAGGACAAATTTAATAAAAAAAAAAGAGGGGAATAACAAGAAATGACAAGTAAATAGAGAAGTTTATATAGAAAAGAGGGTCACATCAAGGACGGAAATGACAAGAAAAAAAGTGTAGAGCATTTTGCCGGTGGAATTGAGTTATTGAGACACGTAGTGGTATTCGTCATTTTCTTGTGCAATGCAAAGAATTCTTCAATTTTGGGCATAAACTAGACGATAGAAAAAAGAAAGATGATTGGCAAGCAAAAATCCGGGTATCGTCCAGTTGAGAGTATACCTCAACGATAGCAGTATAAACAGAGTCCTTTGCATTTTCAGCTCTCCATGTGCTCAAACCAATAGCAGGAATCTTGTGTCCACTCAACAACTCAAAATATTCTATTTTCTCATTTTGTGGGTCTATTGTCATCTGAGCCATTTTCCTATTCTTCTTCTTCACCTATATCTGGGTTAATTTTGAATCTTGATATATGACTTTATTTATGAAAATCCAATTCGATAAGAAGGAATTAATTAAGGCATATTTATATGGCCCGGGGAAATTGAGTAGCAATGGAGACGCCAGCTGAAGAAAAAGGATACACGTAGCATTTCATGTTGACACGTTCGAAGCCATTCGGAAATCTTGCATCTGGTTTAATTTTTTGGTTGGCAAGCAAAAAATCGGGTAAACAGTTTGGGCCCCATGGGTAGGAGTAGTAAATGGTTTGGGCCTGGGCATTTAAGGGTAAATAGTTTAGGATTAATGGGTATAAAATGAGTTTTTCTCTTAATTGATGCTCAATGCCAATTAAACAAAACAACAATGACTAATTGTTGATCTTAGATAAAATTTTACAAAACAAATAAAAGTATAGAATTATTGGAAACTTAAAAGTAGTGCTAAACACTTGAACTAGTGAAATCTTGGAGAAAGAAGGTGAGTAATGAAATCTTAGAGAAAGAAGTGGGTAGGGGTGTACATAGGCCGGATTGGTTCGGATTTTGCAATTACCAAACCAAACTAATTGTGTCAGGTTATTAATTAAAGACCAAACAAACCAATAAAACTCGGGTTTTTAAATCTCGGTTTTTCTCGGATTTTTGGGTTATTCGGATTTTTTCGGTTTTTTCAGTTTTTTTCAGATAAAATCTTCGTAGGACAAAACATATAATTGAGCTCAAAATATTTCTTTAATCCTATTAAGATACAACTATATAAGGTATTTTTCAAGAAAATAATATAAAATATGAGATGTGTCATGGCATTATCCTAAAATATTCAACAATAAAGACAAAAAAAATATGTAATATAAATATTGCTAATTAAAAAGCTATAATAAAAATAAACATAATCTAATAAAAAATAAAAATATGTTATATATTTTTATCTAAATTATAGCAAAACAAAAAATAGATATTCAATACATTGCGTTCGTAGTATTGAATTGAATGTCTTTTGTTAGCATTAGTATTGATTTGATTTTTGGTTTGGGCTTTTGTTAGCATTATTTATCCCTTATTTAAGTTACTAGTATTAATGGCTATAAAACTTATTGGAACATTCAAAAGCAACCTTGATATAATACCTTAATTGTAAAATTATGAAAAAGTTTAAGAAATACTTATAAATTACATCACAAAAGTATATTTATATATTAAATATATCTAAAATTTCTATATACGTAATGTCGGGTTGGTTTGGTTTCGGTTTGACTTTCTTTAGTTAAAACCAAACCAAACCAGTTATGGTCGGGTGTTTTTTCCAACACCAAACCATAGTCGGGTTTTTATTCTCGGTTTGACTCGGACTATCTGGTTGGTGCGGTTTGTCGGTTTCCTTTGTACATCTCTAGAAGTGGGTAATAATATCAAAGAGAAATACAAAAAATATGTAGGATTTTCTGAAATATGAAGAAATTAAAAAAAAAAAAAAAGATTGACTTGGGCGAATAAAGAAAGACAGAGCAATTTTTTTTATTGAAGAGTAAAAAATGGAAAACTAAAAGTTATGAAAACTATTCATCTACACATTTTTAAGTCAGTCAAATTATTATTTTATTTATATATCTAAAAAGTTTTCTTTCCTTTATATTAAAACCTCTAGTATTTTATTAAAAATACTAAATATTATTTTTTAAATACCTATGAACCTATTATTTTTAAAAAAATGGGGCGCACTAAATTTGGGTAGTACAAGCCTTACTCCACATAAGGTTGGAGCCGGCCCTAGTAGTGAGACGGATAGTATCTTTTTAATTAGAGACTTCGAGTTCAAGTCTTGGAATAGAAAAATCCTAGTAGGACGTGTTTTTTTATTTTTTATTTTTTAACGAGCCTTATGCAGCTCTAATCCGGAATAGTCGGTGGTCAAATGCCAATCAAACATTAGATAGAAAATCAAACAAAACAACAATGACTAATTGCCAGGAAGTTGTTATGTAACTTCCTTCTCTATCACTTTCCAACAGAAATTTATGAAGAAGGTCCGTTTGGTTTGCGGCTGCGTTGTACGTTATCAGTGATTGTGATACATTGAATAGTAATCAAAGGTCTATTTGTAGAATTATTGGATGTTTCCCAACTTGTATTGATATATGGATATACAATTTGTATTTCAGTATGTTCATTTGGTTTTAAAATGGATGAAGAATTGTTTCAGTAGTACCCTCGGCAAATTATTACTTCATTCTATTTAATATTTGGTTTATTAAAAATATATCAATAGTAATTACAGTAATATAATCAAACATCGACTAACATTCTCAAAAAGAATAAATTAAAAGAGGAAATTAAATTTAAAATAAAATATCCTAAATATGGGTAAATGAACAAATTAGTATTTCACTCCTCTTCTAGACATTAAAAACGTATTTACACATTTTTCTTTATTTAAAATCAACATTATAAACTTTAAAAAGCAATTAAACTAGAGATACCAAGCAAGATATGGTTAATTTAAGTGGTAGTAGTACAGAGGGTTTTTTGTCATTTATGTTTTCTTAATTATGCATATTTTACTAATACATGAATTGTAGTTTCTCACTTAATTCGGCAGAAAATGATACAGAATTACGCGCGTAACAGTGCATTTTTAATACAGAAACTACTCTATCAATGTGATTTTACCTCAGGAATCAGAATTATTTCCACAATAACCAAATGACCACTAAGTATATTAAT